TATTTATCAGCACAAATATAACATATCTATCTATCTATCTATCTATCTATCTATCTATCTATCTATCTATCTATCTATCTATATGTGCGCACACACACTTACAGCATATACAACTAAAATATCAATGAGATATTAATAGAATAGAATATAATTCTTTATTGGCCAAGTGTAATTGGACACACAAGAAATACAATGAATACAAGATACAATGAAAGCCATTAAATGCTATTAATATAAAATACTGTGACCATCTGGAGAATTTCCCCTCTCAATTGACTTCCCCGTGTTATTATTAGCTCATTCCTTACAGCAGTGTTCCTCAACCTTTGGAACTTTAAGATAAGTAAACCCGGATCCCGGAATTCCCTAGCCAGAATGCCAGCTGGGGAATTCTAGGGGTTGAGGTTCACACATCTTAAAAGTTTCTAAGGATGGGAAATACTGCCTTATACGGTAGTAAGGATTGAATTAAACTATTTCAAAGTTGTAGATAATTGAAATCAAAACTACCTCAAATTTAATACAACCTCATGGCTAACCTTGCGAATTAAAAAGCAGAAGTTCATAGTGCAGTAAGCAACAAGACAATACTTGGATGCCACAATCAGTGGGATCAGAGCAATAACAATTGCCCTCTTGAATGGAGTAGGACAGCGTCAAAACTGGCTGAACTAGTTTTTTTTTAATTTTCTTTCTTACTTTTTCTCAACTAGTCCAAGAACTACAATTATTCACCCCCCTGGCAACCTGGATTAGATTTGTCCCACCCCAAATTTTGTTCTCCTCTTAAAGCAGATAAACTCAGAATTAGAAAAGATTATCGGAGTACTAGCCTACCTGCAAGATAGGATGGTATAGCATTTATATTGTTGGATCATCACGTATTTGAGAAATATTCAAATATTACTGGATGGTTTTTGGCAAGTCAAGAGACTCTTCTTGTGAAAAACTGGAGGAGGTAATGTCATGTATGCCACACTGGTTATAACTTCAATATATTATTAGTGTTAGCCTTTGAAAAAAATGTGTATCCAAGAAGCATACAATATATGGATTGGGGGGAAAGTGATAAAATCAGCTATGCTGACTATACGAAAACTTGTACAAAGACAATATCTTTGTTAGGACAACAAAAGCATCGTAACAGAGTGCATAAAGGTTTGAATTCTTTCGAACCTTTTTTTCTGGCTGGGTGGTAAACCAAGGAGTGCAGGGTAAGCCAAGTGTGGAGTAAGACAAAGACAGGGAAATCAACACTATTCAAAGGCTGGGGCATCACCAGGCCAAAAGCCAAAGTACAACAGAGAAAATGTTACTTTAGCAATAGCAATAGCAGTTAGACTTATATACCGCTTCATAGGGCTTTCAGCCCTCTCTAAGCGGGTTACAGAGTCAGCATATTGCCCCCACATCTACATCCTCATTTTACCCACCTCGGAAGGATGGAAGGCTGAGTCAACCTTNGTAGGTTCGAACAATTTTTGAAACCCACCACTGACTAGGAGCCATAATTCAGCAATATTGGGAGATCCAAATTTCTCACCCTTCATCTAAAATCAGAAAATAGGTGTGTGCTAAAATAATAGTTGGGGTCTAAGGGAGTTCGTTTGTGTAATATTCTTAAAAATAACCATGTTCATATTTCTTTATGCATATACAAGGAAGAGGAACTAAGCACATTGATAATCATGGGTCTCTGACCCAGGAATAGGAGATGCCCTTACTTCAATCATCCAAAACACTTTTTCCATCCTGAGTCTTCAAGATATTAAACAAAATAGCATGAAAATTCTGAACTACCTGGAGTATTAAATTAGGAATCTAGAAGCACATTTTCTGACTAACACATAAAAAGGTGTTGTGACTCGGCAGAAACCTCCTGTGAGTTGTTTCGGGATGCACGCAAGAAAAGGGCTGACCGATTCACAGGAGAGGATAATGAGCAGCTGTTGCTCGTTAGGGTCTCCTGCTGCGGATAAAAATGACTGATGGTGCCACGCCCTGGTTGCAGAAGTCAACATTCCGGTTCTGTTCCTGTTCTAGTCAAGTTTGTTTGCAACCATCCAGAAAAAGCACTTGGATAAGTGATTTGATTTATATAATCCTGTTTTGCTGTAGTTTACTTTTGCCAGAGAATTTATCTGTGTTTATTTTGGGCTCGTAGCCAGCAAGAGCCCGGACTGATAAAAACATTCCTTTGAACATTCGGTCTGGCTGTAGTTTTTGAATGGGCAAGGTGGGGGTCAAATCAAAAAGGCATACAGTTTCATTCCCTAGATGTCAGCTATCGCTCATGACATTTAAAAAAATAAAACAGGTTAATCAGAGAACATGTTACCAGTCTCCTTGGCTTGGGCTATAGTGCCATTTCAAAAAGGTTCTTTGAAGTAAAACAGAAAGTCTATTTTCCACAATGCATGTGGAAAAGTATCTTGAAGAGGGAATTCTGGTCCATAGATGAGAAAGACTGCATTATAATTTTTTACTAAATTCATGGTTGCGTCCCATTAAAGCACATCCCAACTGACCTGGTAGACTGGCTCTTTCAGGGCTGAAAAGATCTCTTAATCCCATTTCTTGGAGTTTCTCCTTCAGGCTGAAGCTGCTTTCTATCTTGAAACGGGGCAAATGTACTGAGAGAGAGACCTCCTTCAAGGCACCGAACCAGCTTTCCAGCTTCTCTGCGGTCAGCTGCTCCTCCACTTGGGCCAAAGGTGTGTCCACATAAGGTAGGATAAAGACCATTGTAATATCGTCCCCTTGGTAAGGGAGCTCCAACACTTGAACTTTGGCACTTGCGATGGAAGCATAACGGAATCTCATTTCCTGAAACATCGTGGGCACCTGGCAAGGCTCAGCGTTGGCTCTAAAAAAGGGCTCCTCGTTGGTGTTGTCAAGAGGGAATTTGGATTTCCAGTGACCCTAGATCAACACAGTGACAGAAAACAGAGCCATCAGCCAGAAAGTTAATGGGTTAGTGTGGCACAACAAAACCGCGCTCGCCTAAAGCGTGCCCGATTAAACCGCGTCGCTGACGTCATCAACAGGGCAACAACAGCGAGCGGGGAGAAAGAAGGGCGCTTTAAAAGCAAGCCGATTCAACTTAAGATAAGGGTTAGGTTTAGGGTTAGGTGTAGGGTTAGGTTTAGGGTTAGGTTTAGGGTTAGGTTT